AACTTGACTTCACCCTCAGACCTTCTCACCAGCCTGGTCTGCAGAAAATTTCTAGTAGGGCTCCCTGGGCCTCCTGAGACCCTCTTGTGAGTCCCAAGCCTGCCCCCCTCTACTCTCCCCCTTCCCCCCTAAAGCCAAAAAAGAAAACTTTTAGAAAAATTTCTAGAAGGGAAAGAGGCCAACTTAGCAGCCCCAGGGTCTACCCTAGCATGGTGCTGGACACAAATCAAGGGCTGAATAGCCTGTAAACTAAATGGTAATTTGAGTCATTTAGAATGCACTGCTATCTGTAAACTATCTTTCTACATTAGAAAGTCATACCAGGGGCCTGAGCAATAGTACAGCAGGTAGGGCATTTGCCTTGCATGTGGCCAACCCAGGTCTGATCCCAGCATCCCATAAGGTCCCCCAGCACTGCCAAGAGTGATTCCTGAGTGCAGAGCCAGGAGTAACCCCTGAGCATCACTGGATGTGACCGAAAAAGCCAAAAAAACAAAAAAGGAAGAAGTCATACCACATTCATCTCTTTCTCAAAGAACACAAGTTAGTTTGTTCCTTAGCCTAGTCCAGATAACAACCCCCACACCTCAGCCAGATTTAAAATAAAGTGACATGTATATAGCATGTGTCCCCCAAAAAATGTGGAGTGAATTTTCTTCCTGGATTTTGTCCAAGTTTTCACTTTTGAATTTGAAAACCATTACCCAAATCCTGAAAGTGGAGAGAGTGTGGATGGGGGACGGGGGGACGGGGAGCGCAGTGTATAAAATTATTAAGAAGGCCCTGGACAGTGAAGATAAGGAAAATACAACCACTTAGGAACTTCGGGACCTGTTACATGAAACCAAAATTAGAGACTTTAATGAAAGCGAAGCTTCCACATGCTTCAAAGCCAAAGAAATAAATCTTTGTAAACATTTAAATGATTTGTCTTAATTATTTGACTATTTCCAAACTCCATTTACTCCCTAGCCTATTACCTTGAAGACAAATCTCTTCAACTCTCTTGGTCTCGTTTCTGTCTCTGTAAAGTGGGAGAAAATCAGTATCCCTTCTTCAGGAGGCTCAGAGGAGGAGAAAATGTGACTCTGCGTGCCAGGTGCTACAATACGGAACTGCTACTAAAATGATGGACATGCCTCCTTTACTGTCACCAAAAGTAAAGTGCTGGCCCATTTCTTCACTTTTTTGTCTATCTGCAATGCTTTTGACCCATACTCAGGGTTGGCAAGGGCTAATCCTGGCTCATTGCTGGGGATCGCTCTTGGCAGTGGTTTGAGGGTTCATTTACTCGATCTCCCACACTCACAAAGTATGCACTACAATCCTTAGTGCTATCTCCTTATTCTGCTGGCCCAATTTTAAATACTCCAACATAATTCCATTAACCAAGTTGGACTCTTCCTTTTACCAAGCACTTCCAGACCAACCATATCAAGACTTTTGGTAACAAGTTTCATCTACCGTTTCAGCAACAGTCCTGGAACACTTCCTTTGCTCTCTGGAAAACTCTTTGTTATTTAGACTCCTAACTTCTAGAATGATTGCAAATAAAATGGTCAGTGTGCTCTGGTTGCTGAATAAGCAAAATGTTAGCTTTTTATTTGGAAAACACTCCGTACACCAGGATGAAACCTTGGCAGTCAATCCATGCCTGTCTCTACAAAGCAGCCATCCACTGCCAGCCAACCAGGGCTCTCAAAGTCATGTGGGACTCTTCACCTCAAAAGATGAGGTCCAGAAATAAACTCCTTGCTTCTTTTTTACCCATTTATTTCTGGTCCTTTTCCCAGAGTGCTCTTCATAGGGATTTAAATCAAAGTACCCAATATCTGCAAAGCATAGCATATCTTCACAAAAGGGACACAGGAAGGAGGTAGGCTGTGATCAATTTAGAATTTCAAACTTAGGAACTGAATATAGTTTCCTTTGTTAGGGCCAGATACATTGGGGCACCCGAGACAGGACAGTGCAAAGGGTTCTTGCCTTGCAGGCGGCCAACCCCAGTTCTAACCCCAGCATACCGTATGTCCCCCGAGGACTGCCAGGAATGATGCCTGAGTGCAGAAACAAGAGTAATCCCTGAGCTATGCTAGGTGTGGCCCAAACAATCCCCCCCCCGACCCCCGAAAAAATGACTGCATATTTTAACTAAGAATTCAATGAGCGAAACATTCATAGAGTCATTTAATTATTAAAGTCAGAAAAAGATTTATAAGAAATAATTCCAAACTGCCCAAATTAATTTCTATTCCTTATTTTCCATATAACTAAAAAAGTACTTAAGTCCCATCCCAAAGAATAACCACAAGATAACATGGTGTCAGAAAGTTTCCAAGTATCTCACTTGTGAAGTATATGCCAACAATATCTTATGACTTGCCCAAAACTTTTCCTTACATATTGCGGATAAAAACCCTAAGCCCCATATTTTTTAAGAACTGAATTCTGATCTGCTTAAACTATTTATCATAATCTATCCCTTCCAGATCTGTAGACATAGAGGAGAGAGGCAGAGAATAAAAATTCAACTATCAATAAAAAGTTAAGGTGTTTCACATTTATACAAAAAAAAAAAAAGTCACTCAACCACTCACAAGTCAAACTTCATAAAACATGATTCAAAAGTTTAAAGTTGCAGATTGGGGACAATGACTTCTATACTCAAGTTCAGAAAGATTCAAAATCATTGTGACAATCTGAATGAAACAATTACTGTTATATTCTTGAAAACATGAATATTACTGATACTGCCTAGCAAATGATGCCTTTGAATTTCTAGCCTGGTTCCAATTCCTTCTCAAATTTATACAAATAACCATTCTTGCAATATGATTGGGTCTCATTTTCTACCTATCCTTTAAAAACAGTATTTTTCACCTGATAATAATAATAATAATCTCGTGCTCTTTGCTTTGAAATGTAGTTAACTTCAAACTAAAACCAGAGCAACTACATATAATTTAGCATTAATCCTAAACCTCTGCTGTTACCACGATATATGCCCACAAACCCCTAAATAGCATCACCACTATTTTACCGTATCATACCTTCCACAAGCAATATAGGCACAATATCTGACTTGCAGAAAGACAAAGCTAAAATAAGTGACAGCTGTATTAGTGAGTCCTAAAGAACTTATGTAGAAGGAAAAAAAAAAACACTCAATGTAATCAATTTCACATCCTTTAGCTGTTTATACAAGAAAAGGGCTGAGTGTTTCTACTGCCACTGTTACATTTTATTACAATTAAGTGAAGGACAGAATCACGATGAGTCTCCCACTGTTCAACCCCGGGCACTAGGCTGCTAGGTTTGGGCAAAACTGACAGTTCACAAAGACCAAAACAAACAAAACCACATTCACCTTCCAAAGGAAACCTAACTTCTTTGGCAGCATTTCGCAAGCATTTCAAAATTCAGTTATCGCTCAACACTACCTTCAGAGAGAACTCAACAAGCACCTCCAAATGGAATAAAGCGCCCCACAGGCAAGAGGAGATCCAGCACTAAGAATAAATCTCTTTACTCCTAAAATGTTGGATCTCTGGACCAACATGCATGCAGAAATGAACAAGCAGACCAGTTCTGCATGTTCCCTATCCTGAAGACTGAGAGCTAAAAACCTCTCTAAAGAGACTTTTTTTCCCACAAAAGCTCATGCTTCTCAACAGTACAGGGGACTGGTCATGGCGAGCTTAAATCAGAGGCTCCTCAAACCTCAAATAAACTAACCACAGGATAGTCTATCCAGGGAAACTGGTCGTAGCTGCCTAACTTCTGCCAATGCTGTCTTTTCCTGCTCAAATGAGCCTGGCTGGTTTCAAGGGGAGTGGTGCTTTATGGCACTTGCAGCTGGTCTTGCGTTAATGGGCAAACGTCCTATTCCTATTGAGGTTCAGAGGCTTCCTGCAACTCTTGGGCTTGACGACTCTGTCTTCCCTCGCCAAGTCTACCCGATCACAAATTCACTGTAAAAATTTCAAGGAAATCGCTCTGCTACCCAGGATACCCACAAGGTTTTCCTGGAGGCTCTAGATAAGCGGAGAGGCTCTTGCTGCAGTCAGTCTGAGCCTCCAAGCTCCTGGTCAGCTTTTCCAGGCTGCAAGGGCCTCAGCTCTGCAGGGCCAGCCTAGGAGAGCCCGCTCCTGAAGGTCCTCTGGTATGGCTGCCTCCAGCTCTTAGCAAACCCTCTGGGAATGGGAAGAAGCCGCCCAGGGACCAGTGGGAAAACTGTTTGCAGAGATCTCTCTCCACCCTCCACCAATGCTGTTAATTGCGGGGGGGGGGGGGGGGGGGGGGGGGAGGGTAGGGGAAGTAGGGAGGAGGCTCTGAGGGGACAGGACTCCAGGGCAGAAATCCGAGGATGCAAGCAGCTTCAGTTCATTCATTGTCATTCATTGGGATTTTTCCACTGGCTCTTTGCCTCTGCAGCTACTCCTGTCAGGCTGCGCCAGCCAAAGAGAGGTGCATTCGCTGACCATCTCTCTCTCAGGGCCCTTGCTGGTGACCTTGGCCATGTGGCTTCACCTCCCAATGCTCTCTGGTGAGCGGAGACCACCAACTGCTCAGGTTAGGAGAGGGTCAGAGCAATGTGGAAAGCGCCCAGCAGACTGCCAGGGAGGGAGGGGGGTCCCCGGGAAAGGCACAAGCTGTGCAGAGCGGTCCTCCTCCTAGGGGTGAGTGGGGAGCCCGACGGGGCATCTCCTAACCTCCAGACCCTGGGTGTAGGGGGTGGGGTGCAAGCGGGCCTTGCAAAAGGGGCAGCGGGGCTGTACTTCTGAAGTGCCCTAATCACTTTAGGACGTGGTGGGGGGGGGGGGGAGCCGAGCCGGGGTGTAACGGAGGGGGTGTGGCTCCGAGCCCCCAACATTCCCTTCCTCCTGGGCTCTCACCCAACCAGACTAGGTAGCGCGGAGTTCCTTGCGTAGGGAGCGGGGGAGGGGGGGGAGGTAGCGGCGGAGGGCGCGCGGAGTGGGGGTCGCCGGCCCCAGATCTACCTCCTCCAGCTGCGTGACGGTGTTTCTGCAGTTGTGCAACCGAGTAGTGAAGCTGGACGTGGTGGGCGAGTTGTAGTCCTCGGTGGTCTCGGCGATGAATTCGGAGACGGAGATCTGGTCCGGCATCCTGCCGTGGGGGGGGGAGCGAGACACAAGCGGGGACCAGGGGTGAGTCACGGTGCTGGTTCCCGGGGCCACCGGCTGCCCGGCGGGCTCATGAACGCCCGGCGCTGCTGCTGCCGGTCCCCCAGCTCGTCCGCCTCGTCCCCGGCGGCGGCGGTGGCTGCAGAATCAGGCGGGCGCAGCCCGAGGAGGTGGTGGCGGCAGCGGCGGCGGCAGCGGCGGCGGCGGCGCTCGGCGCGGGGCCCCTTCAAACTCCGAGCGGCGCGCGGGGCTGGGGGCTGCCGGGGACCCGCCTCCCTCGGCTCATGACGGCGGCGGCGGCGGCGACTGCGGCGGGGGAGGAGGGGACGCGGGGCGGGGACGTGTGGGGCGGGGGGGCTGGCGCCAGCCCAAGCTGCAGCTGCAGGCCGGGACGCGCGGGACGGCCCGCGGCTGCCACCTCGGGCGCGCTGACAGGCGGCGGCGAGGACCCGGGCCGACTGAGCGCACGCACTCCGCGGCGGGCGGGCGGGACGGCGGGCGGGCGGCGCCGCCGCTCGAGTCACGGGGACAAACAAGGAAGTGCTCTGCGCACGCGCCGCCGCACCCCCGCTCTCCTCCCCCCCACCCCCGCACGCCCCGTCCCGCGCCGCCCCCGCCCCGCCCCCGCCGCCGCCCGCCTCCCGGGCCCCGTTCCGACCCGCGCGCGCCCGCCCGCCCGCCGGGGGCCGGCCGAGCGCCTGGCGGGGGCTCCGGAAGTCCTCATCCGTCGGGCCGCCCCCGGAGCGGGGCCTGCAGCGAGCTGGTTGGTGCAAGCTTTTTTTTTTTTTGCAAAGAAAAAAGGAGGGGAAGCGAAGAAAGTTGTACGTGTTCTTTTTTAGTCCCGTGTGGGTGCAGGAAGCCAGGCTGGGAAAAGACGCCTCCTTGCAACCCGGGACGCGGGCTCCCTAGGAAGGAAGGGGGAACAGCGCGGGAGCTCGGGGCGGTCTGGTGCGGCAGGGGGTCGGGGGGATGGGGTGGGTTGGGGGGAAAGACTTCGGGGCTCGGAGCCCACCCGTCGCCCTGGCTTGGCCCGCCAGCAGCCTGCCCGCTCGCGGGGCTCCCGCCCTCAATTCCTTGCAGGACGCTCAGCGCCCGCTGGATGGAAGTCTAGTTTTCTTGCACTTTGCTCGGGTGGCGAACATGATAAACGAAGTCACGTGAAAGAGTTTTTGTTCCCTGACAATTTTCTGATCTTTCATTAGCAGTAGTTTGTTTTTTTTTTTGGGAGAGGATGAGGGGGCGTAAAAGGTGATTCCCCAGAGATACACATGCTATGCAATGCTAGACCTATGCCAAATTTCTACGGGGAGAAATGCACCAACAGATTGCCCATTCTTCGGCCCTGGAAGATGGCTATTTTTTTTTTAACTAGCTCAGTCTACTTAAGTCCAAAAGAATCCATTTGATTTGTCACCTTTGGTTGCGGGTGAAATCGGTTTTAAAAAAAGGTCTTTGTTTAAAGAATGCATTTAATTTCTTACCACTGCTTGCGGATGAATTCAGGATGGAAAAAAAGCGAGGTGGGTGGCAAGGGAGGGAGTCCCTTGGGAAGTGGCCTAGGATTGAACCCTATAATGAAAACCAATAGGAGCTGCCTTGTAAGATCCTTCAAATGTGCCCCCATTGGCAGTAGGCTGGCCTTGTGCCTACCCTAGAGCTGAGTTCCTGCCATCCCGTTAAGTGTATGTTCCCTGGTACTTACCCCAACTAAGTACCTTGTCTTTCACTAAAGACCTTGTCTTTCATGTGGGATAGAAGTCACTGAGTGATTGCCAAATAAAAATGCCCCACCTGCTTACCGACCTCAAGTATTTCCTAAACCTACTATACGTCGTGCATCACTGACATTCAATGATGGCAAAGGCCTTGCTGTCATGAATTTACCTTCCAGCAGGGAAATACACAACCCACAAATACACAATAGAAAATGGGGCAAGAAAGTGATAGAGTGGCTGTAGCATCAGGAATGTCCAGACAAGGCCTTTCTGAGAAGTTGACTTCCTGCGTGAAAAGGAGGAGAGGCTGAGCCCCAGAGATACCCTGTTGGCGCTGGGACCTTAGCCTTCAGTTGGTCCATGTGAAAAGATAAGGGCACCAATCCCCAGGAGTGAGTTAAACGATAATGGATGAGAAAAGTGCCTGGTGCACAGTAAAGCCACTCCTCAGTATTCTATCTATACAGCTATATTGTATCTTCATTGCAGAGTGAAGAGGTCCTAACTGACAGGTAGGCAACTGTTTTAGCAAACTAAAGAGAACTTTTGTAAGGCAAGGTATATGAATAAAGATTTGCAGGTAAAATTATGTGTTAAATCAACTTTGAGAGACACACTGAGAAAAATCAACTTTGAGAGACACACTGGGCTGGAGTGATAGCACAGTGGTAGGGCGTTTGCCTTGCATGCAGCCAACATGGCTGACCCGAGTTCAATTCCTCTGCCTCTCTCGGAGAGCCAGGCAAGCTACCGAGAGTATCTCGCCTGCACGGCAGAGCCTGGCAAGCTACCCGTGACATATTCGATATACCGAACACAGTAACAACTAGTCTCACGATGGAGATGTTACTGGGCCCGCTCGAGCAAATCCATGAACAACGGGAGGACCACTGAAAAAAAAATACTTTTAGATTCCTAAATGTTTGTCGAGAGGCGGAGGACAAAGACTGAATCCAGGCCCAAGTGAATCCCCAAGCACCACCAGGTGTAGCCGTGGAGGCCCCATAAATACCACTGGGTTTTTCCCTAAAAATCTCTAACCACCACTGGGAGACCCTAGTTGTTCCAGGCACTACCGGGCCCAAGCATCCTCAGACCCTAGCACTGAACCATCCAGCATGGGGTGTGTTCCCCAAAACACTGCTTGGGAGGATCACGTCTCTTCAAAGAAAAGAAAAATTAGCAAATTAACAAACAGGCTCCCACTTGGCAATAAGATGGTTGACATACTCCTGGGAGTTACCAGTTCACATACAGTGATTGATGGAAGCCGCCAGAAGAAATGTCCTCTTTTTCCATATACTAACCAGGCCATCTGCATCTGGAGAGTTCTACGACTTGGAGCAAATATTACCGCTAGAAGTTAGAGCTCTTTAAGTTATTCTCAGTAACTCCATTGCTACTCATTCCCATGGAACAATTGACAGCCTAACACCCAGACCACCCATCTGCTTCTAGAAGACCTTCCTCTAGATTGGAAATCCATTGAGATTTTATTTTGCATTTCTTCTATTTTTCGCCCCCTCTACTCCAAATTGTCATCTAATGCCTGTCACCTTCACTGGTTGGTAGCTCCTTTCTTCCCATATGCATAGCATAGAATAAATAATGGATAAATAGAAACGGGCAGGAAAAGTCTGGTGTTAATGCAAAATGGCTTCAATTCCAGCTGGCCTGTATTCCACAGCTTTCTCTCCTAGATTTGAGGCCATCACTTTCCGCCCTAGTGCCATCATTTGTAAAATAAAGGGGTAGGTATTGCCAAAAAGAGATTCCTGCAGGCTCTAACTGAACATAATCTCACCTGCACAAAGGCAAGGAATCAAGATTATTCCAAGTTAATGTAACTGCAATAGCGAACAACCTGGGATTTCTTTCTTGACTGAAATCAATGAAGAGCCCAAACTGCTGCTCTCAATTGTTGTTTGTTGCAATTGAAGATTATGCTATATATCTGCTCCTCCTCCTTATTCACTCTGGCCAAGTAATGGCCAAGAAAAGGATATGTGAACAATGAAGTAATTGTGCCGTAGTAAGCATATACCTCCTCAGACCAGTCTGCGATTAGTCCACGCCTCTTCCTACCTTTTCTGGGGTTTTGAGGCAATAATCCTCTTTAAATTTGAAACCTTGCCCCAGTGAAAACTCTCTCTCATTTTGAAATACATTGAAAACTACTCCTTGTGATCACTAGAAGTGAACTGATTGTGATGTAGACAAAACTTAAATGCAGCTTTTCTGTCAATGAAGCTGTTCAGAAATAAACATCATCCTAAGCCAGGACTGCACGCGCATACAGACACACACACACACACACACACACACACACACACACACTTGAGCATGCCTAACTTTGCATAATACATGCATCATCTTCACTGTGATCATCATAATCCCCATCAAAGATTCTCCAGCTCTCCTTAACTGTTCATGCGTATTTCTCAAATTGGAACACAGCTGACTGGGGTCAGACAGTGTTCCAGGCACTGTCTTACTCTCCTTGAAAAGACATTAAAAATAATAGTGGCTTACTCTGACGGACAGCGGCAACACTACTGACTCCACTCGACTGGGAATTGGCTGGATTTGCCGTTGTTGGTTTCACCCTCACTCATCTGCCAGCATAACCAGGGGTGTGTGTGTTTGTATGTGTGGGTGAGGAGGAGGGGGAGATGTTCTCTAGCATCCCTCTCAACAGGGCTAGCCAGCTTTCCAACCTGAAGGGATGAAATAAAAGTACTTGTCAAAGACTCCTAAAACCTTCAAGAGACAGGGACATTGGGAAAGAAAATGTGTTTTCTGCTATGTGCAACTGGGTATGAGTCTCCACCACTGAGCAGCCTTGTTTGCTCATCTGCAGATTGAGGGTAACAGTCAGCATAAATACTAGTTGTTCTGTGAAATGAAATGGCAAGACATGTAGGTAGTGTAGCTGACGCAGAGTGAATAATCAACCAGTGTTTATTCCTTTGAGCCCCCTTTTTATGTGAATGACTAGAAATACGCTTCTCTTTATGCCACACTCAGATACAGCTCTCGATTAGTCACCTGGAGGAGATAAGACGAGGGGGAGAGGGAAGGTGCACACCAAGTCCCAGTCTGGGATCTGGTTTTCAGAAAGACGCGTCAGAGATCTCATTGATTCATCAAAGTATCCTTGAAGAGGTTGGGCCCATTAGTGATCGTCTTGGAGTTGGGAGGTAATTATCTTTGACTCCATATCTAGAGTCCCAAAGAATGAATACTAGTGAGGATCAGAAGCTTGGAT